CATACTGCAGAGAAGAAATAAGACACAAAAGGGGTACCAGCTACCAGAAGCAAACATGATTCCAGATTAGCCTCAGGAGGGGGCCAAATCCCAAGATTCAAAGCTAGCAGCCTTTGAAATGACAGGAGCACAGCTAACCTCAGCACGAGACAATCAGTACCTCCGCACCCATTAATGTCAAATGCGTCAAGTTACCTTAAGCTCCAGCGCTGGCAAGCAAGGGTGTGAAAGCAGAGCCAGTGGGCAGCAAGAGACCGGGAGTCCATCGCTTAACTGCAAAAGAAAGACAAATCCAATGAAAGGATATTTTTTCCCCCATGAAAAGGACAAAGGATGAAAACCAAACACACATTGTCTCCCAGCGAACAAAACCTGAACGGCGGGTTGCATAACCACCATAGTTATGTAAGCTTTAGCTTGGTTCCTGGAAAAATCATACAGGATGTAATCAGTAAAAGATGCTTAAAGTCTGAGACAAACGGCCCGTGGCAGTGGCAGAGTAAGCAAGAACGCAGCTGTAAAGCCACTGCTAATATTTGTCTGGGGAAAAATAATTCATCTAGTTGAACCCTGCCTAGCCCTAAACACATACTCCTCTGTCTTCCTCAACCTGTTGAGGCCAGGGAGACACCCTGGGCATAGAGGAGCAGAGAAAAGATCTCAAGTGCAGACAGGTCATGGGAGGAAGCCTCAGGAGAGTGCTCTTCCATCACAGCCAGACTGGGTGCCAGGCAAGGCAGGCTGTGGTGCCTTCTGTCTCTTGCTCCCTCCTCCACCCCTGTCTGTGCCACAGCCTCACCAGGCAGAGATTCCTGTCTTGCAGAGCTACTAACGTTCATGAAGCTTTTGCAGGCCTTGGTTTTCTGCCCAGGCAACAGCTTCTACCGCCAGCAGGACTTTGCTGCAGACAGATGAGGATGCTGTTGCACACTCCCTCTGCCCCATGCTGCATGAGGTGTTCAGCCGCCTCATCCAGCCCCAGCTATCCCCTGCCTACACACACTGCTGCAGGGAAACAAATCCTCTGAAAACCATTCTGAGCACCTCCTCTTGCTGCTGTTGCTTTCAGCCATTAAGTCCTTACTGTTTCCTAGCCAGGAATAGCAGTAATAGCAATAATCACAGTAATAGGAGCATTATTGATACCACCAGATTAATGGTTCTAGCATCCCTGGTGCCTTGTACCCGTTTACATCTCACGCTGCCCTGCTTGGTCTCTGGGCACAGAGAGGACCATACACCACATCCCTGCCCACCACACCACAGCTCCCTGATACCTGCAGATCAGGGGAGATGCTCCAGCCTGGTAATGGGCATTTTACAGCACGTGCTGGTGGCTCACAGCATTAGTAAGTACAGGGTGTGTTCAGCCCCCAAAAGACTTTTTCTCTCCTGCTCCCATGCTTTACTGAAAAGCCCACGCTGAAGCTTTTCTCCCTGTGGGACTCGCTGCCCCACATAGGCTCCAGATACACGCACACAGTAGGTCTCACTCTGAACACAAGCAGCACAACCAAATAACCACATCATAGGTCTAAATCTGCTTTTCTTTTATTCAAATGGGCCACTTAGCTACACACCGGTCTAGGATTATACCTTGAACTGACACTTTTAGATGATGTTTAGTATTAGCTAAGCTTTAAATCATTGGGAACAGCTGCCCATATCGCTGCCTGTAGGGATAGGCAGAAACAAGGTGTTAATGCAGGGAAACATCCAAGGGAGCAGAGATTTTAAGCCGTGCCCTTCTTCCATGGCTTTCATAGGGAGCAGAAGGTGGGAAGCAAGCCCCATGGTTTGGGATTTTTCCCTGACCCCCATCAGAGCCTGGATGAGCTGATACTCCCCAGGGAGGTGCCAGGCTTTAAGGGATGAGGAAAATCCACCATTCCTGAGAGCATCCCTTCTTCCTTCTCCAGGAGGAGGAGGACTCTGGCCTGAATCTCCATCCCAGCAAGGGGTTGCAAAGGGATGCTGCAGCCACAGAACAGGAGCCATCCCCTTGCCTGCCTGGTTTGGCCACCTCAGCACACAAAAGAGCCAGCTTCTTGGCAGCCATGGGGTAAGGCATGCAGGGGGGAGGGACAGGGAGCAGTGCCCACAACTGCTGCTCCCCGGGGAACAGCAGCAGGGAGCTCCTTGCAAAGAGGGTTGTAAGCAGGTCCTCCTGCCCTGCTGCCAGTGACTGGGATGGGGAAATGCCCGTGGGGACTCACTGCAAACCTGCTGTAGCTCGGGCAGAGAGCACCTGGGCTGCAGCTCATGCTGGCATAAGGCACTGAAGCCTACTGCAAGGGTAGCCCCTGGCCCAGAGCTGCTAGCCCCACATAGCCAGGCTTCGTTATTTAGGACAATCTGTGCCGCAGCCTGACCCCAAACCCTCATCAGGTCACGCTCCCACCCACAGCCCAAGCTTGTACAGTCCCGGGGGAAGCTGGTCCTGGATAAACTTACCCCTTGAGAAAACAACCTCTCCTTCCTTACTGCTGCATCCTCCTCCCTGGAGCCATCATCCCTCAGGGGGGGGGCTTCAGGCAGGATGCGGAGCTTTTGAGTGCGAGGGCTCATCTCCCTTTCCCACAGGCACCTGTGGTTCCATAGCCCAGATGCCAGGTGGCTCTTCCAATTCACACGGTCAGCTTACAACCAGGTGTAACTCGTTTGCAGCTCCTCTGCTTCAGCTCCAAGAGGAGCAGAAGCCAAAGGACTTATCTCCTCTGAGATTCTGTACCTTTTGAACCGGGGATCCCATGGGGAAAAACATCCTGGCTCCATCCTTTTCCCTGTGACTTGTTTGCCATAAAGCCCATGAACCCTCCTTTGCAAGTCCTAAAGACCTGAGTGCTTGGGCTGGCTCTGGGGGTGCTCAGCTCCATCCACCTGCAGCTGCCTCCTCATTCTGAAGCTGGCTGTGCCCTGCTGCTCCCTCCGGCTGGGCAAACCCTGCTATGGGGTGGCCTTGTCTCATGGCACACGCGCTCCATGGGGTCGCCAGTGGCTGCCAACCAAACGCAGGCTTCCCAGGCATCACCTCAAACCCCAGAGCTTTTGGTCCATAGCAGGGGAGGCTTTTTAAACTCACACCTTAAAGACAGGGGGCAGTGCTCGTGTGACCCCTCGTGTGCCTGCTGGGTGGTGGGACACAGGGGCAGGAGGCAGCAGCCAGGTTTGTGAGCGCCTTAACTGCGCCTGGGAATTGCTCAGTGTTGGCTTTGTAACCCCCCTTCCAAGGGGACCCCAGCACACACACACTGCTCCGTGCTCTGCCTGCGCGTTCAGCGCCCTCCTGCCCCACTCTGTTCTGTTCCACTGATGTTCAGCCTAAATTAACAGAGGGTGAGCTGTGAATCTAAATCCTGACCAGGCTCACGAAAGGAACAGCTGGACAGCGTGTCCCTGCTAGGCTGTGCCGCAGGGGGGGCAGCAGTCTGGGACAGCATGGGATAGGACAGTATGGGAGGGGACGGGATGGGACAGGACGGGATGGGATGGGAGTGGGTGGGGCGGGCACCCAGCCGGAGGTCCCTCGGGCTGCTCTGCCCAGCTCCCCCGCAGCCGTGTGCAGTAGTCCTGGGGCACGAGGGGGGGTTCCGCTGGGAACAGCAGCACGGGCAGGGGATGGGGGCGGTGGGGTGGGGACATGGGGACACCCCTCGCTTCCTGCCGGTCTTTGGGCACGTTTAAACACTACGGAGCACAGGAGGGGAGCAGGCTCGGAAGGGGCCGGTGAATGAGCTTTGTCGGACGGCTCCGGCCGCGCCAGCCCAGGGGGAGCTCGTCCGCGCTGAGGCTGCTCCATGCATAGCAGCATCTGCCCTCCTCATCCTCCTCTGCGCCCAAAGGAGACTCATTTGCGGGTGGTTCTTTATCTGCATTAAACCTTTTGTCGGTGGTTTACTTTGGGGTTTTGCTGGCTCTGGGTTCTGTTTTTAACGTATTACAGCTGGCTTCCCAAGCTCTCCAGCTCCTCATCCTGGGCACGGAGAGTAAAGACAAGACGTGGTGCAGCCCCGAGCCGGTGCAAACCCCACTGGTCTCATGGCAAGAGCCCATTCAAGGCCTGGGCTGTGCCAGTGCAGGACACAGGGAGAATTTGTGCTGGGAAATCTGCCCATAATAAATAACAAGAATAAAGGTTATATCCTAATTGCAGCGGAGCTCCTCTGAGCAGAGCTGGGAAGCAGCAGTTTTGGTGGCTCCATCACAGGCTGGGACATGCTACCCTGCTTCTCCATCAGGACCTGCTGCTGGGAAATTCAGACCCCGCAGCCCAGCAGGAGTTACAGGACAGAGCCCACTGCCTTCCCAGCTCTTCTCTTGGCTCAGCATCCTCCTCCTTTCCCTCCTACCTCCACCAGGCAGGAATTCGCCCCATCCAAGAGAACAACAAGCACTGCAGCCTAGCAAAATCATTACCATCCATTAAACAAAGGGAAGCTGGGCTGAGCAGGGGGGCTGAGCAGGGATGCCGAGCAGGGACGCCATCTCCCACAGCTGGCTCTAGCTCTGGCCATCGCTGGACGGGTCCAGCATTAAACCTCTGGCAGACATTAAAGGGTTGTGTCCCGGCTCCCTGGATTAAAGTGTAAATGTCCCTGGGGTGCCGGCGAGGGCTGGACGCGGCCACAGCAGGAAGGCCACGATGGCGGCTGGCTCCCAGCTAGCTGTGTCCGAGCGGTTTGCTCTGCAGCCCCAGCGGCTGCTCCGTGCCGGGCCTGGGGACCGCAGGGGCCTCCAAAGAACATCCGACTGTTTTAAAAATACTTTATTCGTTAGAAAATAGAGCGGTCAGTACAGAGTGCTCTGCGCCCAGCTCCACCCCACCGCCGAGCCAACGGCAGCGCCGCAGCAGGAGAGCGGAGGGCAGGTCCCACCGCCCCCGGCTCCGTGTGCCCGGGGAGGCGGGCGGCTCCCGAGCCCTCGCCGGTACCCAGCGGCAAGGTGCTCCCCTCCTCCAGCCCCTCAGCAAAGCCCAGCTCGCAGCCCCAGGCTTGGGGGCTGTCCTCAGGGGGGCACGCAGGGGTGGTCACGCTTCCCCACACGAGGATTTGGGGTAACCCATGTGATTTTTAACATGGGGCTGCCTCAGAGCAGAGCCAGCAGCAAACCCAGTGACAGCGGGAGCTGGGGCACATGGAGGGGGGGACCAGGGCTTGGGGTACCCCTGGCTCCCATCCTGAGCAGGGATGGGGCTGAGTCAGGGCTGTAACGGCTCCCACTGAGGGGAAAAGCCTTACTGGGGGGAGTCAAAAAGGGGATGCAAACATCACCCAAAGGCAGTGACCTTTCTCCTGTGTCAGGCAGAGCTCCAGCCTTGGGGAAGACCCTCCACCTCTTGCTGGCTGGGTTCCCCCAGGACGAACTCCTGCCAGCAAAGCCCACCCCATGGGGAGGGGTCCTGCCCGCACCCTGAGGGGGTGCAGGATCACTCCAGACCCGGACAGGGGGGCTGTGCACACTGAGAGCAGGACAGGGCAGCAAAACCTGGGGCTGGGGGAGCAGGGAAAGAAGCATTTTCTCTTTTCAAACAGGAATCCCCAGCGCCAGCCCCTTCCCTTTGCATAGAGCAGCCTGCAGGCAAGCATGTCCTTCAATCACGCAGGGAACACCGAGAGCAGCAGCTGTGACCCCGGGGGGGGGGGACAGGAGCAAGGCTGGGGGACACGGCCCTGCTGCTCCCATCCTCCACTGGCAGCCCTGGGGCTTGATAAGGACACAGGGAAAAGAAACACCAACACCCCTGAACCCTCCCCATCACTCTGCCCCAGGTGCAAGAAGCCATCCTGATGTTGAGAAAAGGAATGAAACAGGAAAAAAGAAAGGGAAGAAAAACCTAGGCTGAGACGGAGGGAAAGACCCCCCGGTCAGCGGAGGGGAAGCTGGGCAGCGCTGCGGGGATGCTGTCCGTTCACCACCCGCTCCTGCGGGATCTAACTGTCCTCGCCGTTCTCTCCCGGCCCCTTGATCAGCCGTTTCTGTCCCCGCTTCCCCACGGGCCCCTTGGGCTTGGCGAAGGCCTGCTTGAAGGCGTGCTGCTTGGGGTGCACCTCCTCGTAGAGGAACTCCGCCGTCAGCTCGGCTCCATCGTCGATCTCAATCTGTGCCCAGGAGTGGGGGTTAGCAGCTCCCTGGGGCCTTGACACCCACTTGTGGGGCACTCGAAGCCCCCCTGAGCCTGGCAGTGGGGCTGGACCAAGGCTGCAGCAGGGTGCCTTGCAGATGCCCAGCACAGGGCTCTGCTCCGTCACCTCTGGGTGGGCTCACACTTACCTTCTTGGCTATCTCCAGGCAAAACTCTTGCTCCACAGTGTCCAGCAACCGGCTCTTGCAGCTGGAGTAGAGCATGCGCTCCTTGATGCTGCATTTGTACCCAGGCATGGAGTAGATAAAGACTGCAAAAGAGAGCAGGGCTCATACCCCTGTCTGAGATCGTGGCTAGGGAGCACTAGGCAGCTGCATCCCACCCCGATCATGGCTTTCCCGGCCCTGAGGGTCCCAGTTTACTCAGTGACAGAAGGTGAGCCATCCCATCCATCAACCCTCCCCAGTGCCATGACCACAGCACCCAGAGCGCCCTGCAGCATGCATGGCAGCACCAGAGGGCTTGCCAGCACCCACCACAGGAGGATGGCAACTGGTAACCAACTCAAGGCCCCCTGCCACACCATCGCTATCCCCATCCTTGCTTGCTCCCCCTGTGAGCGATGGTCCAGGGAGAGCGGGGCCCAGCGCAGGTTCTAACCAGCCATTGCCAGTGCCGAGGCACTCACCGACAGACTCCAGGTAGTCTCCCTCGTGCGAGTGCTTGTACAGGAAGAAATGGTAGCGAGCCGAGTCCTGGGGGACCCTCTTGGGCAGGTCAGCGATCTCCGTGGGGCTTGTGTGCACCAGGTCAATGGTCTCCCGCTCCAGATCCAGCTTCTGGTGGACAGAGGGGATGGGGGAGCGGACGGGAGTGAGTGGTGGCAGCATGAGGCAGGGCAGTGGAGAAGCTGCGTGAGGGACCTACCAGCTGGATGTAGTTGATCTTCTTCTGCTTGAGCGCCTGGATGGCTTGCTGAGCATCCGACTGCAAGGGGAAGGCCAGGCCCTGCAGGGTCTGGTGCTTGCTCTCCACACTGATCTCAGTCTTCACCTGGGGATGGAGACCACCCAAGCGTCAGGGAGAGAGCAGCAAGGGGTGCACAAGGGACAGAGAGGAAAACCGGCCAGTCCTGCAGCAAAAGGCTTCTCATCCGAGGAGCTGCCTGACACCCAGCGCGAGGGCATTAAACAACCAGAAGTCAGCCAAGCTCAGGGTGCTGATGTTTGTCACCGCACCGCTGCTCTGGGAGATCACCCATCCCCAGCCATGCACCCCGCACCCCATCACTTCACTGCAGCAAAAACCAGCTCAAAACCAACATTTCCCAGTGAGCCCCTGGTAGGGATGCTGTGTCCAACACTGGTATGTGTCCACCTCTGACCACAACCTGCAGATGATAGGGAAAGCCCTGAAATCACAGTGCTCGGCTGCATGGGTCCCTGGCAGTGAGGAGGGCAAGCCCCTCCTCGGCAGGTTTAACTGCAGCAGACAATCATTGCCTCCTGTGCTGGAGCTGGGGAATTGTAGATCCACACCTTGGAAAGATCCCAGCCACCGTCCTCCCCGCAACCCCTGCCAGGCAGAGGCTGCTGCTCCTACCCCAAGCAAACACCCTAGTCCAGGAGGCCAAACCCCACTTCAAAGAGGGAAGGGAATGAGATTGTGGAGACATCGCATCGCTCCGGGTGCCTCCACCCAGCTCCAGCGGGGTCCCTGCCCGGGACTGCAGTGTGCCGTGGGCCGGCAGTGGGGAAGGGGGGCAGGACGCGGCAGGCGCGGCATTACCTCCTCGGGGCCGGGGTACTCTACCAGCGATGGGCAGCAGCAGCAGCCCCCCACCATCTGCCACAGAATACAGGGAGACGGCGTCACCCCGACAGCGGAGGACCCCAGCCCACCTCAAGACCCCCCCAGGTAAAGAGTCCAGCAGCGCTAACCCAGGTGCTCTGCAGTGAGCATGGGTCCCTTTCCATGGGGATCAGTTTGGGGGATTTTGGATAAAGACAGTCCAGCCTCTTCTATTACACTTTTTCTTCTTTTCCCTCCCCCTGATAAAGGAAGAAAAATCAAGGCATGCCAAGAGAAACACAGAAATTTCAGCTCACAACTCAGAACCAGCTGGGCAGTGCCAAAGCGGATTTTGACACAAGGCTGCCTTTCGTTACAGCAGCCCTTTGGGTACCCACACCCCAGGGAGATGACGGACCAGGTGCCCGGAGCAGAACATGCAGAAGAACACCTCCAGGAGAAGGACAAAAAGGGCATCAAGCGGGCAGAGCAGCCTACCATCTCGGTGCTGGAGTCCTGGGAACAGGAATCCTGCGAGCGTGGGGAGAGCAGACACACTGTCAACAGCACCCCGCGCAGGGATGGAGCGGGTCTCGTGTGGAACGAGAAGGGGTGGGGGACACACGGGCATGCCAGGGGGATGGAGGTGTACCCTGGCTCTGCTGGAGGCCAGGGAAGGATTTGTCCTGGCAGAGCAGGCAGTGACAGCAGCAAAAAATGACAGGGCAGACATCAGCACTGGGCAGGAGCAGGACAGAGCCCTGGGCCCCGGCAGCCCCACATGCAGCACCTCCACTGACATTCCCATGCCTGTGCCCCATCTCCTCCCAACCAGGGTGGCCCTAAGCCAGGGTCTGGAGGAGGTCCCGCAGTCGCAGCAATAGATTTTGGGCCATCTTCTGCAGAACAACATATACTAAAGCTCTGGAGGGCGGAAAATGCCCAAGCCTCCATCCGTGCCAAGCGTCGCGGAGGATGAACAGGGTGTGATTGCGCAGCTCTTGGGAAACAATTGCTCAATGGTTATGCAGTGCCAGGAGGTCCGGCTGACCCCCAAGCTCTGCTCTCCTACCATGACCCCCAGCTGCCGTGGCAGCAGCAAGGGCCCGAGGGCAAGCACGTAGGGGTTCAGAGGATACAGACAAGTTCTCCTGGTCCCACCCTGTGGAGAGGTGCAGTGCAAGGACATCACTACTGCCAACACCTCCAGATCCTCATGTTTCTCCTCTAAAACAGAAAAGGGGCTGGGAGGGTTATAGCGGATCTGGAAAGACCTCAAGCTGTAACACGAATCACGCAGAAGTCCGAGAATCCCAAGATGTGGAAACTTGTCCTAGCAACACCAGCTCCCCCCCATACTGCTGTAGTACCTATTCCTTCCCTTTCCAAAACCATGAAGAACTGGCTCACGGAAACACAGGGCACAGCCCAGGAAGCATGCATGGGACAGCTGAGCCCATGCCTCATCCCAGCCGTGGCCTCGTTGGCAGCAGGAGGGATATTTATCTCCTTTTCTTTAGGTTAACTTTTGTCCTGCTCTCTCCTCATTGCTGGCATGGTGCTGACCTTGGCTCTAACGACCATTTCTATCTCATAATGAAACCTTCATGGGGGGGTTCTAGCAAAGCCTCTGCTCTACCCACCCACCAACACCGAGTCGTATGAATTACACCCCCTTACATGCTGCAGTGGCACGGCCACCTCTTAATTCTCCTGCCTCATCCCCCAGCTCCAAAGCCACCTTCCTCTCCTCCGCTGGCTCCCCTGCATGATTCTGAGCCTGTGATGCTTCTAGAAAGACTTCCCACTCATGGTGTTAAGGGAGATCAATGCCAAATTCAAAGCCACTTCTTAGCCCACAGTCAGCTGACAACTTCCAGCTCAGTAAAGCTGGCAATGCATTTTCCAGCTATTTAAAATACATGCATGCATACATACATACACACACACATACTTACAGCAAATGGCAGGGTTTTGTGAGCTCCCACCCAGCGAGCAAGCAGGAGGGTAGCTCACAACATTGCCTCTGCCCATGCAGTCCTCAAACCAAAGGAGAAGCTTGGCTCATGCAGCCTAAAACCTGCTTTACCAAAGGCTGAGCACCCTCCCAGGTGAGGTGCAAACCCGAGTCCTTCCTATATCAGTGTAAAAAGTAGCTCTGCCAGCGCTGAAGCTGCTGCCATGCAGCCGTCGCCTCCCTGCTCCTGCTCTATTACTGCTCTTCCCCTCACACCTCTTCTCCCCGCTCAGCTGGTGGTTGAGGAGGATCCCAAGGGAGCCTCTGCCAGCCTAGAAACTCAGCCACCTTCACGGGGAAGGATGCAGACCTGGTCAGCATCTCAGAGGGTTGAGCATCAACAGCATTAGAGGAGAGCAGGTCCGCACCACCACCAGCAGCTCCAGGTGAGGGGCACAGCAAAGCTCGTGTGAGCTGGTGGCTTTTAAAGACACAATGTCCCTTATGTCACTTTCCAAATCCTAACAGACTGGTTGAACCCAGGGGGATGTGAAGGGTCCTGAACTGCCAGCGGGGGCATGGGCAGATATGTGGAAGTGCTGTGGTCAGGGCTTGCATGGGGGCTGCCAGCCCTCACTGCTGGCTCCCACGCCCTGGGTCTGCTCCTCCAAATGAAACTGCAACGTGCACATGAGTGCAAGGGCCTCACAGCCTATGCACAATGTAGAAGCACCCTGTAAGCCTGCAGGCAGTGAGCAGGCTGGGGGCACTGCTGCAGTGAGCAGGGTGCTACAGGCTGAGAGCTCCTCCCATACAGCTGCCTTGCATGGCTCCAGGAACTCACTTGAAGCTGCACTCACCCAAAGCCATGAGTTTCCCCTGGGGAGGTGAGCATGGCACTGATCTCCCATCACCTCCTGCTCTGTGCTGCCCCTGCACCAACACAAAGACCCTTTAGTGCAGCCACTGCTCAGCTGCTTCCCACCTTTGGATCCACAGGCAGAAAAACATCCATTTTTCTCTCTGGTGTTGACTGATCTCTGTGGCCCAATGAAACCAAATGGTAGCAGCACCTTTACCCGGCTGCTGCATCTCATCTCACAAAGGCAAGAGTGGGAGGCAGAGCATGGCAGATCAACCAAGAAACAAGCACCATGACCACTTACCTGGGCCGTATGACCCTGCAAGACACAGCCAACTACTTAATCCTGCAGCAGTGCCCAGCCAAGGCAATGGCACAGATGCCCAAAGATGCCAAACAAGCTGCAGAGCCACCATCAGCATCTGTCTCTTCTCCAAGCACAGGCACCAGACTGGATCCTCCAGCACAAATCAATCCCCTCCTGGCTGGCAGCTGGGATATCTATGCTAAGACCCACTCAGTGAAGACCACTCCTTGGTAGTATCTCCCAAACACCCCTCAAGTGACCACCGATGAGCCCCACAGCCCCAGCACAGGCGGAAGAGTGAGGGATGCTCCTCTAGAGAGGAAGCCTTTCCACAGCACCTAAGTGAAATCCTCCTACCCCAACAAATACTGCTTCTGGGTGGTTTTCCCAACCAGTGAGCAGGATCCCTTTCCCTGCCTCATGTTTCACAGCACCACAGATGTTGGCACAAGTGCCATGAGATGCCACTGGGGAGACAATGCTGTTACAGCCTTATTTGCCGCCAACCCTACCCCATGCCACTTCCACATCATTTTCCAGTGCATAAGCCCCCATATTTAGCTAAGAGCTGTATTTCTTGTGACAGCATCCCTCATTTTTATAGCCACAGAGGAAGAGTATGGGAAAGGATGCCGTGCAGCCCAAAGATAAGTCTGAATTCTTCCTGCCTCCCCCATGACTTCAAACTCAGCTCTGGCTTTTGCCCCAGTACCTAGAGGTTAGAAACCGCTGCCTGCTTTCAGCCTCAAACCATCTTCTGAGTGCCACTTACGGTGAGCAAGACAGAGCCCTGAGCTCAAGTCCTAGCAAGTGTAAAAAAAAAGCCAGTCTCTAAATTCCTCTTTACGCCACCAATTTGGCTGTGAGGATGCTCGGTCCACTCAGCAGGGGCAGGAATGGGTTAAACCGCAGAGGTGCAAGAGAGCGCAGTACAAATGAGCCACTCTGGGGTGCTCAGATGCTTGCTCCCTGCATCCCACATCCCTGTGTGCTCTGAGGGTCTCAGGCTCCTTCTCCCTGGGCCGGCAGACACCCACCTCATTGATGCGGATCTGCTGGAGCTCCTGCTCGGCTGCGGTCAGCGGGGCTGGGGCAGAGCAGGACGACACATGCTTCTGGTAACCGCTCAGGGACACGTCCTCCTGCAGGCAGAGGGACAGGGACGGGGGAGTGTCAGGGGTGGTTATTGCTGCCGGGCTGGATGCGTGCCCAGCCTTGAGGCTGCATCTGAGCAGCCCAGTGCCTCCTGGGCTCTCTCCTTACCAGGACGATCAACCCCAGGATGCCTTCATGCAAACCCCACGCTTTAAATTTAATTTAAACAGTGCCCACGACCACCCATGCCCATGCAGACCACCCTGCCCCTTCCCAGACACCCATGGCTGTGTCAGAGGAGAAGGAGAAGGCTCCCGCCAAGGCAGCCGAATAAAGCTCTCACTGCTGAAGTGACACCGCCACCCCCTGGCGCTTCTCTTCCCACTCAGCATAAAGCTCAGGATCTCCTAGAAGCCTTCCTCCCACCTCTTCCATGGTCTCCATCACGGACCACAGCCGTGCAGGCAGGACAAAGCAGTAAAAGCCACCCAGGAGACTAAAACAGGGTGGGGGACAAACCTTGGAGCTGTTCCCCTGCCAAACTAACAGCATCCACGTTCCACCCGGCTTTGGCACCAAGCCTGGAGTAGGCTGCCAAAGCTCAGCGCTGAGCCCAAAAGGCTGCCAGGAACCACCACCATACCTTCACCGTTCCAAACATCTCATCCTTTATGTGCCCCCCGCCAAACTCCTTCTTCACCGTCGCTCTGGTGGCAGCGTACAGCATCTTCAGCCGGACCTGCGCAGGGAGGGAGGTGCGCAGCGTGGTCAGAGGAGCATGACGGGACCACAGAGCAGCACCTCCCCACAAGACAGAGCCGTCCCACCACCGGCTCTGTAAAGCTCAGCCCCTCCTGGAACAACCACCCGGTTTCTAGCTCAGGCTGACTTCTACTGCAGCACCTCCAGGCCAGGAGCAGCCAGGAAAACCCACCAGCGCCGTTTGCTGCACTGCTGGTGCACAGCGCAGCGCCGCCAAGACTGCCCAGAATCCACCCGTTCATTCTGTGCTTTGCTTCCCATCCCGGAGCTCCAGCACATCATTTCTTGCCTGCACTCGGGCAAATACCACCAGAGTCACCTGAAAGTGACTTTTGCCTTTTGGCACTTTACATTGTTCTGTAAAACTCAGGGAAGAATTCTGGCTCCTTGGTGCACCGTCCTTCTGCAAATAAGACTCTCCACAGTTTGTTGAGAGATGCATATTAAAATATGTATTATTACGTACACGTGTATATGTATATGTACATGTACACGCAGGTGTGTATCACACATGAAACTATATTATCATAATTGTATATGTGTGCATATAATAATATCTGTATGTTAGATATATCTCAACAAATTGCAGAGTCTTTTCTATATATGTGTGTTATAATATAGAAAATAATACATAACAACATATAGTTGTTATGTCTATATCAAATATATTTTTATATATATGACAAATGTATATATTAACTTGACAATATAGATCATATAAAATACATACAATATATAGGTATGTGTGAATGTGTATATATAAATACATATACATACATATATGACAAGCACACATTAATACAGCAATAAATATTGATCCCACTGAAAGCCCATTATGGAGATGTGCTCAAGAGGACTGTGTTTTATAAGCCAGTGCTGCCATCCTCTAAACCAGCCTCCATCCAACCAGCCCTTTGGTGCCTGCTCTCCAACACCATCTCCAGCCCCACAAGGCACCCAGCAGGGGTCAATGCTGGCCCAGCCACGCACAGCTCCAAGGGAACCAGCCTGCCTGGCCCTTTTTAAGGCTGATTTTGGAGCCGAGCCCAGAGCCAAGCCAGCAGCCACTGTGTGTCAGCCCTCACGTGGAGCAGGGCCAGGCTGGACACGAGGCCAGGCAACTCACTGCCAGCACCAGCTCTTCCCTCTGTTGCTTCTGGCCAGAGCCATGGTGGGACGTCTCCATCCCAGCCCTGTGGTCCACTCTGCTTCCCCCTCCACATCCCAGTCCCTCCACCTCCTCACACAGCTCTGCAAAGGGAACAGAGACACAGTCCCAGTGTATCTTACTGTGTCTTAAAGACTTCGCCCATCCCAAAGCAGTTTCCACTTCTTAACCTGGCGCGGTGATGGAGAGTGTGAACAATCTTCCTAAGCCCCAGTGCAAAGTCAGCCTGGCCAGCATCTCCTCCACCCTCCACCTCCCAGGGCACACCCGTGTCCCCAAGCTGCGGTGTCACGGTGCGGTGCGGTGCTCACCGGGGAGCTGTCGGGGGACCAGGAGATGAAAAGCCACTCGTAGCCCTGGGCATTCTGGCTGTCCAGGCGGTACAGCACGTAGCACGGCTGCTGCTCGTCCAGCAAGGGCAGCACGAAGGCGTCGTAGTCAGCATCCCAGCGCCGGGACAGCTCTCTGTGGGCCCCCAGCACAAGCTGTTCTGGAGAGATGGAAAAGGTGGCGTTAGGTGGAAGCAAGGCTCACCTTGCAGGACCATGTGGTGCCTCGTCTAAGAGCTCACTGCAGCTCCAGCACAGACGCCAGCGCTGTCCTGCCGAAAACCAAATGATGATCTCGAGCCATGTGCAGGACTGTACATCCCCAGGGAGGACCCCAGGAGATGCCACTGGGGCTGTGGCTGCTGTGGAGGGGCTGGTTTTCTGCCAGTATCCCACTGCCTCCTGCCAACCATCTCCTCCCCTCCCATGCTCCTCATCATTGAGGTCTCCTCTCTGGAGACCATCCATAGCCTCCTTCTGTCCTGCTCCCTCCAGCCATCCCTCCTTGCTCATGGGAGAAGGCAAGATCCCCTCCATCTCACCTGGACAAGCTCCGGGGGCACTAGAATACCTCATCAGGGACATGAGGAAACACCTAGATTTGGGGTGTTAAGGAAAATAAAGGTCCCATAGCAAAGGCCAGGACAATGAGCCAAAGCTGCTCTCACTGAATTCCCCGTAACAGAGGGGTGAAAATCAGAGCTGACACCCAAAGCCCTTGTTTGTGAGGACCAGGACTGTCCCAGAGACCCCAGTCTGTGGAGGGACCATGCTGCCAGGAGAGCCCCAGCTTCTGCAAGTGACCTACATACTTCACACACGTGGTAGCAGCTCAGGTATCTGGAGGGGCATTTTTCCAGCTGCTACGCAAGCACTGGTGGGGGTCGGAGCCCCACGAGCCAGGCAATGCTCAGCTGGGATTTAAACCCTGGTGCAGGCACCCTACGAACATGAACCCCCCCTTGCGAGGGTCAAACCAAGCTTTGGGGTGGCTGGATGGAAAATGATGGTGCTGGAGATGATCAGCGCTGGCTGCTGGAAAACAGCCTGTATCTTTATTCCATTTTTAGATGTAGGAATGTCTCTGGGGGGAGATGTTTGGACTCAGAATAAGATGGAGAAAAGCCTGGAGGTGCCAAAGCAAAACGAATCGGTTGGGGCCTTGGACAGTTGGCACTTGAGGGGATGCTCAGCCTGGCATGCACCCTGCCTGGACCTCTGCCCCGCTGCCCATTGGGAGCCAGAGAACCCCTGGCCAGGGACTCCCTCCCCTAACCCATCCAGCTCAGCAGCTCCGAATCCCATGGCAGGAAAGCTTTGAAGGAAGATAGCTGAAGAATAAAGAGTCTGGGATGAATTGCTCTTTCCATCCAAGCAGGGCATTCCCCTGCCCACAGCAGCGCAGCCCTTCCCTGCCCAATGCCATGGAAACTGCCATCACACACTGAACCCGTAATTATTTGCACACAAAAGCACATGCTACCAGTAGAGTAAGGACAAGGACAGCAGAAAAAAGGTGCTGAAAACACTTTACCTTCAGCAAAATTACCTGTTTTGAGAAAGAGAAGTATAAATCCCTCAATGTACCCCTAAACTAAAGCCTTGTAATCAGATCTGTGCATCGCTAAGACCTGGAATCCTAAAAAGACCACAAGGAATTTCATCTGGCCAAATTCATGGGCAGTTGACGGGTGTCTCCATCTGCCAAACATCCCAACACCTCACCCAAAAGGCAATCGTGCCAAGTCACTCCGGGCTATTCCCAGGCTGCTTCCCCCGGGCTGGAGGAGCCACGTACTCCCCTTGCCTGCCACTGGGCTCTCTGCAGTTCTGCTCATCCCATTTAGGGCCAGATTTTCCTCCTTGGGAAGCACTGAGAAAGGGAAACACAGAGCAGCCACCCTTGGGCAAAGCATCACTGTCAGCACGGGCTGTTTCAGGCTCCACTTTTGCAGGGCACTGCTGCTGGACAAAGTGCAGCTGGAAGCACGTTTCTGGCCCTCGAGGTACCCCCAGCACTCACTGCAGGCAGGCTGCCTGGCTCTGAAGCGCCCCTACACCTAAAACCATGCTGGACCACAAGCTGCTTTCACACCAGAAAACCATTGCTGACCCTTGGTGCACATCCTCATCCCTACCACTCCTCCTTCCAACCTCAGCTTCTTCCAGCAGGTCCCTAAAGACAATATCAAAGAGTTCCCAAAGGGCTGCTCAGCCATAGCTGCTGTCCTGGGGCCCCAGACACAGAGCATCTGCCACAAGGCTCCTTGCACCATCTTCCTGTCCTTCCATCCACCGACGCCTGCTCCACAATGCCCCAAGACAAACAGGGCACAAGGTCCCCTGAAAGCCATCGAGCAGAGCTAGAGGTCCCTCTTCCACATCCCCTGCACAGGCAGAGCAGCTGGTTCATCCTCCCCACACACCCGGGGACACATCCCACCCAGGGTCTGCATGCTCAAGTCTGCCCATCCAGCCCCGACATCTGCCTGGCCATTTACTACTGCTCAAAGGTCCTTCTCTGGTGGGTAGCAGCAGGCTGATGGCCCCCGTGCTACAGAAAGGTGGTGGCCAGAGGCCAAGAACCTCGTTCCAAGTGATGCGGGCAGGCAGACGGGAGCTCTGTGTGCCAGGCTGGTGGGACCACGGCCACGGTGTCCCCAGCAGGCCAAGCCCTTCAGCACAGAGGTGCTCCCACCTCTCCTCCTTCCACCTGCTGCCCACAGAGGCCTCGGGCTCCGCTGCATTTCAGAAGCTTCCGCAGACACCCAAGCTCCTCCAGCACCGCCCACGGCTGGTGCAGGCCAGAGGAAAGGAGCCGGCAGGGTGGGAGAGGCACACTGTGAAGCACAAAGCACTGCCAAGTGACGTTGGTCCATGCAGCACGATGATGCCACATTGGACAGATAAAGACATCCCATTCAGCCTGAGTGGAGATGGCGGGACGTGGTTTCAACTGAAAGTAAAAAGTCTCCCTTGCTGACATTGCTGGCCACAACCCAAAGTCAGTGGCACAAGCTCTAGGACCCTAAGGCCAGGCTCAGGGGCATTTGTGACTTCTCTTAACACAAACCCAATTCCTACTTCTTAAAAGAAAGGGAGCCAAGAAAGCAAAAACGTTGTTGAAGATGCTCAGAGAAACAACGTAGACATCACATCCTAACACATGGAGACCTCGCCGGGGCAAACCCAACACCACTGAACTCTGCACTGGCCCTGCTGATGCGCCCCATACATTTCAATGTATGGGCCTTTGTAGCCCCTCCAAGGCCAGCACGGGTTCCTAATGACTGTGTCCACCTCGATGTCCTGATGGCTGACCTGAGGGAGGTGATGACAGCAGCTTGGCAGGACATTAACGTCCCTGCTGCCTTGAGAAACAAGTCATTCATATGCAATTGTATGAGGCTGAGGTGATGGAAAACCTACACCACGGAGGCTCCCCGCTGGGATGTTCAATCAGTGCTTTGCTCCACTTGTTTGTTTGACAGATGTAGAGGCCACCCAAAGGCATGGGACAAACACGGGCAGACTGATGCCAGCAAACTCGGCTAGGGGCAGTCCCATGCATGAGAGCAGAGGCTGGGACAGGATGGGTTTCCGAGTGTAGCATCCCTTGTGGGATGCAATCCGGGTCCCATGCTGAGCCCCACACCAAGAAGCACCCCCTCACCCATCCCTGCCCCGAGCATCCCCTTGCCTGGCAAGGGACACCATGTCCAAGGAGGAAGATGCCGCCTATCACCCCTGAGCAAGGTCCCATGCCACCCACCACGCTTGCACAGCTCCCGCAACACAAGCAGCAATACATGCAGCAGCAAAAGTCCCCCAGAGCCCACCCAGCACCAATCCCAGATGCCAGCAAAGCTGCTGCTCTCCAGCCTGGAGCCACCCCAGGGCTCCAATAGCTGCTGCTCACCAGCACACCCACATTTTGGGCTTGTATTTCAGGTCTGGGCTGCCACGTGCCAGGGAGCCCCAGCAGCGTTTTCCTTGGGGTTTCCAAAGAACCAAGCTGGCAGCACAGCGGCAAAGAGGAAAGGAGGAGAGACAGAGGTGAAACAGAACTGACACGGTGTAAATCAGAGCGCTTAAACCGCACTTACCGTCCTCAATGATGACCTTGATGAGCCGAACTGAACCGTTTCGGGCTTTGGCAAAAAAGTCCCTTAATTCCGTGGTGGCTGAAAGAACCAGAAACATGGTGATGAGATGTGGCAGTGGAAGCAGGCACTGGCTGCTTGGCACTGGCCGGGGGAGGGAGCACCTTGGAGGAGAGACACTTAAAAATAGCTAAAAAAAATCTGTCTTGCCCCCAAAAAAGAGGTAATAAAAATAATAACAGAAAACCCAAACAGCTGGGGGCAAAGTGCTGCCTCTCCCCGAGGCGTCAGAGTTAAACAGCAGCTGGGAGCACATGTGACCCAGAGAACTTGATACTTGGCCTGCGTGAACATAATCACCCAAATTTAGACGATGGCTTGGCCGGCGCAGGCACGGAGAGCTCAAGTGACAAGTTTGCTCTCTTCACGAAGCGGTAAGGGTTGGACACGGAGGGTGGCTGGAAGATGTCCTGACAGGTTGCGACATCCTGGGCTTGTGACACGTGTCAGGGATGCTGCTCCTGAGGTGGCTGGGACGAGCGTGACTCCAGGCTGGAGGCACTGGTTTGAAACTGAGCCTCTACAGAAGGGAAAGGCAATGGTCCCAGGGTTCTGCTCCAGAGCTGGAAGCGCTTTGGTTGCAGAAGGTTTTTGGGGAGCCACCTTCTTCCTCATCCCCCCTCCCCGTGCACCAGGCACCAGCAACCAGCCTTTGGCATCCTACCAGGGATAACGGCGGGCAGTGGATGTTGAAGGGGCAGCCCATACCAGTGCTGGAGCCTTAATCTGCCCATCCTGAACACATCACTGGTGCAGAGCTCCCGTCCCACCTGGACATGCTACCTGGGAAGGAAATGTCCAAGAGATGCAACTTGGAGGGGCACAGCCCCCCCAGCGAGGAGCATCTCCCAGGCTGGCTCCCCCCGAAAGCCCCTTTACATGCTTAAGTTCTTTCCTGATGTGGCTGCACAGTCAAGGGGTCCTGTGAGTTCGAAGCCACAGGCAGCTCTCTGCTTGTTAGAAACACTAAAGAAACCAGCGCTGCAAAGATTAGAGACCTGGGCAGAAGCCCCTCAGTCCACACTGGGATCTGCACTTGGAGTTGCCACCAGCAGCTCCCCGCTCCCAGCACTTTGCTGTGCTGCCTGTCCATTACTGACCACCGAGCTAGAGCTGCCCACAGCAGGAGGGAGCCCTGCACTGGTCCCTCGGAGCCTGACAGCACCCATGGTCAAGGCACTTTGCAAAGAAAGCCACCCCTACATCAGCTGAAAGGCGCTGGACAAGCCATCTCCTGCCACCAAGGGCTGTACCCGTTCTGCTTCAGCCCCACCAGCACGGGTACCACTCTTTGGCGAAGCCCCCCAGCATCACCTTCGGGGGAGCCTCGATGTTACCCATGCCCTGCCCAAGGGACACAGGGGCTGCTCTCCTCCCCTGCAGACGGCCCCCCAGCCCCCAGGGAGAAGGAGTGGGCACAGATTTGTCCCCACGCACAAACACTGATGATGATGCAGGCAGAGAGATGGGACAGAGGGATGCCCTGGGGAGCCCCCCAGGGAACTTCTGCCTGTCCCCCCAGTGACACATCTAAGACACATCTGCCCCACCACCAGCTCAAAGCCTGCCCTGAGCAGAGAGATGTCCAATGGCTTCCCCTCCCATAGAGAGAAGAGGCACAATGAGAAAGAGCTGCAGCCGATACCCTGCCAACAGCAGTGCTCCCATACAAGCCCAGAGATGCCATCCCAGGGGGAACGGGCACAAAGACACTCCAGTGAAGGCACATCAGTTGCTAATGGCATTTTAGGGGACACACAGAAGTTATTGCTGGCATAACCCCACCATGAGCAAACCATCCTTCTCCCTCCATCAGCATCGAGGCACATGGCTCTCCCTGTTCCCAGAGCAGACCTTCATCCTCTCCCAGTGCCGGCTGGGAGCTCACCCTGCTCCTGCTGTTGCCACCCAAAGATGCTCTGATATTTTTAGCCCCTTTCCCCATTGAGAGTGTCTGTTTCCTTCTGGCAGCATCTGTGGTTACTGCAAACAACACGAGGCGGAAGAGGAGGGAAAAAAAAGAGACATTTATACACCCAGAAAGCCTCATGCAGGAGACAAAAGCTCCTAATAAGCACCAAGCTTCACTGACTGCTATTACACTACCAAAATAGGAGAGAATAACATCAGTCATGGATGTTCCTACAGCACAAGCTTCGGAGGAGAAAGATGAACGTCCTGCAGTGCTAGCTGGCTGCAGATCCCTCCGGCCTGAGCCCATCCTTCCAAGAACACAAGGGGTCAGGAAAATCAGGAGTCTGTGCAAATACAACCCCCCCCATGCCACCTGGAAATGCTAGGAATGAATGCCAAGAGGTACTGGGCTGACAGCAGGGATGACTGACAGTTGAGTGACTGACAAGTGACAGCCGAGCACTGGGACATGTGTAGGTACAAAGGGGCTTAAGGGGATGGGGAAAAGCACAGATGCTGCTGGAGAAGCTGAGTGCAGGATGGGAAATACTGCAAGGATACTGCCAAGGAGGGAGATGCTTTCCAGAGGACGCAGCAGCAAAGGTTTCAACAAAACCTCAGAGCAGGCTTCCAAGCTTTAATTCTGCTGAAATAAAGAAAAAATAATAACAAAAGAAAGCGTTCTGCTGAAATTAAAAACCAAAGTAATAAAAAAAGGCAATTTTCATTTAAATATAAAGATCACTGGGGTGTTTTTGATGTCCCCTTCTGTCTCCTGTGATACAGAGCCAAGAGCCAGTGAGCCAGCAAGGAGGGAGAGGAATAAGCCAGAGAGGGCTTTCAGCACGAGCTCAGCAACTGCTTCATTGGGCATGATTACGACTTAACTGGCACAGCAGACCTGATGAGCTGGCTCGCATGCCATATTAATACAGAATTAGATGGCCAGCTCTGGAAGACATGCAGGGAGAAGACCTTACCCTGAGATGGAGGCAGAGATACCAGTGGTATCTTGCTGCCAAGAAGTCTCCAGGACCCAACTCCGGGGCTGAAAAAGCCATGTGTGGGGAAACCATACAAATCAGGGAAAGGGAGGAGTGATGGGGCAAAGGACTGGGCGGGAACCCACACGTCCAACTCACCCTCTAGACATGGGTTCCTGGAAAATCCTGGAACAAGGCCAGAAACAAACCCAACTTGGGCTATAGCCAGCAGGGATCTACTATGGGCAAGTTGCATGAGATCAACCCAACTTCCTCCAGAAGACCCACAGACCTGTGGGCTTCAGGAGCCCCAGCTCAGCTTTTAAACACGTCTCCATGTGTCAGAAGCCAGTTTGGGAAACACGCTGGTGGTGAAGCTCTATGGCAGGGGCACAGAACCGCACGGATCATGGAGAGAAGGCTGAGGTTCTGAATGACTTCTTTGCCTCAGTCCTCACTGGCAAATGCTCTGACCACACCACCCAACACCTGGAAGGCAGATGCAGGGACTGTACGAATGAAGACCTTGGGCCCACTGTACAAGAGGATCTGGTTCGAGACCATCTTAAGAACCTGAACACACACAAGCCCATGGGACCTGATGAAATCCATCTGCGGGTCCTGAAGGAGCTGGCAAATAAAGTTGTGAAGCCACTGGCCACCGTATTTGAGAAATCCTGGCAGTCAGGTGAAGTTCCCCATGACTGGAAAAAGGGAAATATAACCCCCATTTTCAAGAAGGGGAAAATGGATGACCCGGGGAATTACAGAGCAGTCAGTCTCACCTCTGTGCCTGGCAACATCTTGGAGCAGATTCTCCTGGCAGGCGTGCTAAGGCACATGAAAATCAACAAGGTGCTCGGTGACAGCCAGCATGGCTTCACTAGGGGGAAATCCTGCCTGACCAATTTGGTGGCCTTCTATGATGGACAGGGGTAGAGCAGTTGATGGCATCTACCTGGACTTGTGCAAAGCGTTCGACACTGTCCCACACGACACCCTTGTCTCTAAATTGGAGAGACATCAATTTGATGGATGGACCACTCGGTGGATAAAGAACTGGCTGGATGGCCGCACGCAAAGAGTTGTGGTCAATGGCTCCATGTCTGGCTGGAGACCAGTAACGAGTGGGGTCCCTCAGGGATCGGTGTTGGGACCAGTCTTGTTCAACATCTTTGTCACTGACATGGACAGTGGGATTGAGTGCGCCCTCAGCAAGTTTGCCGATGACACCGAGCTGTGTGGTTCGGTTGATAGCTGGAGGGAAGGAATGCCATCCAGAGGGACCTCGACACGCTTGTGAGGTGGGCTGATGCCAACCTCATGAGGTTTAACCATGCCAAGTGCAAGGTCCTACACCTGGGTGGGAGCAATCCCAGGCACAGCTACAGGTTGGGCAGAGAAGAGATTCAGAGCAGCCCAAGGAGAAGGACTTGGGGGTGTTGGTTGATGAGGAAATGAACATGAGCCGGCTTCAGTGTGCGCTTGCAGCCCAGAAAGCAACTGTATCCTGGGCTGCGTCCAAAGGAGCGTGACCAGCAGGTTGAAGGAGGTGATCCTGCCCCTCTACTCTGCTCTTGTGAGACCTCACCTGGAGCATTGTGTGCAGTTCTGGTGTCCTCAACATAAAAAGGACATGGAACTGTTGGAACAGGTCCAGAGGAGGCCACGAGGATGCTCAGGGGCTGGAGCACCTCCTGTATGAAGACAGGCTGAGGAAGTTGGGGCTGTTCAGCCTGGAGAAGAGAAGCTGCGTGGAGACCTCATAGCAGCCTTCCAGTATCTGAAGGGGGCCTGTAGGGATGCTGGGGAGGGACTCCTCATTAGGGACTGTAATGATAGGACAAGGGGTAATGGGTTAAAACTTAAACAGGGGAAGTTTAGATTGGATCTAAGGAGGAAATTCTTTCCTGTGAGGGTGGTGAGGCACTGGAATGGGTTGCCCAGGGAAGCTGTGAATGCTCCATCCCTGGCAGTGTTCAAGGCCAGGTTGGACGAAGCCTTGAGTGAGATGGTTTAGTGTGAGGTGTCCCTGCCCATGGCAGGGGGGTTGGAACTGGATGATCTTAAGGTCCTTTCCAAGCCTGACTGTTCTATGATTCTTTGATCTCTCAGTGTAGGAGGTGCCAGAGGTTGGATCAAGCAAAGTCTCCTGGGGAGACCCAGGTGGTGGCTCCAGGTTTAGTCCACATTTCACTGAATACTTC